TTTGGAGTTGAACAGACCCACGGTGAAAGAGATCTAGGAACACTGCCAGCTTTTCTGTATTACTACAAGGGCTTAGAAAACAGATTTGTGGTTCACATTTTATCTTGTCTTCTTCAAAATGGTCACTTTAGAGATAGAGACAAAAAGAGAAGAAAGTATTTCTTCCCAGTGTGTATATACTCTGAAACCCTTTCAAAAGCCACAAATGTGTATGAAACAAATTCTTCAGTCACATGGATTCAACCACAGCATTCTTCCCAACTAGCACTAAGGCAAGCCAAGAATAATCCAGCCAAGCCAACTTGCATGTAAGAAAACTATAACCTCTACTGTTCTGGGAAACCCCAAAACATTACTTATACATGTATCTTGGTTTCTACAAAAACCCTTTCAGTATTGGGCAAAGAAGAAAGCCACGAATTAACAATTCCAGAGAGCACAAGGACTGTGGAAGCAGGGTGCTAGACACAAGTCTGTTCCTCAACAAACTGTGCCTCATAAAACCTTAATACCTGTGAAACTTTTTGGTTTGGTTTTGTCATGGGGCTTGTGGGTGCTGACACTGAGGCTTTTTTTTTGGGGGGGGTCCAGTCGTGGGGCCTGGGCCCTGTCCCTCAGCTCTTCAGCTCAAGGCCAGCACTCTACCACTTGAGCTAAAGCGCCACTTGCGGCTTTTTTCGTTTTGCTTATGTGGTGCTGAGGAATCGAACCCAGGGCCTCATGCATGCAAGGCAAGCACTCTACCACTGAGCCACCTTCCCAGCCCAACACTGAGGCTTTTTGTTCAAGGCTAGGCACTCTACTACTGGAGGCACACCTCCATTTCCAGCTTTTTGAAGATAAGGTAATTGTAGATAAGAGTCTCACAAACTTTCTTACCCAGGCTGGCTTTGAACTGCAATCTTCAGATCTTGGCCTCCTGAGTAGTAAGGATTCCAGGCATGAGCCACCTGTGCCTGGCTAATATGAAACACTTTAGAAACGTAAGAGGTACCTCATAAATGAATATATATGCACACGTAACTAATAGGTAAAAAATATTTTTTGGTCTGAGACTGGAACTTGAACTCAATAACTGACACTTCTGCTCAGTGACTAGTGCTGTACCAATTGACCCACCTCCAACCCTGAAATATATTCTATTATATTAATCAATAAAATCAATTAAAATTATAAAGAAATACTTCCATTATGCTAGAAGTTTAAACTCTTCTCCTTTTCAAATTAACAACATATGGGCTGGGAAGGTGGCTCAGTGGTAGAGTGCTTGCCTTGCATGCCTGAGGCCCTGGGTTCGATTCCCCAGCACCACATAAGCAAAAAGAAAAAAAAGCCAGAAGTGGCGCTGTGGCTCAAGTGGTAGAGCACTAGCCTCGAGCTGAAGGGCTGAGGGACAGTGCCCAGGCCCAGAGTTCAGGCCCCACGACCAGACCAAAAAAAAAAAAAAAAAATAAATAAATAAATAAATTAACAACATATGGGCTGGGAAGGTGGCTCAGTGGTAGAGTGCTTGCCTTGCATGCCTGAGGCCCTGGGTTCGATTCCCCAGCACCACATAAGCAAAAAGAAAAAAGCTGGAAGTGGCACTGTGGCTCAAGTGGTAGCGTGCTAGCCTTGAGTTGAAGAGCTGAGGGACAGCGCCCAGGCCCAGAGTTCAGGCCCCACGACCGGACCCAAAAAAAAAAAAGAAAGGAAGTTGGCTCAGTGGTAGAGCGCTTGCCTTGCATGCCTGAGGCCCTGGGTTCGATTCCTCAGCACCACATAAGCAAAAAGAAAAAAGCTGGAAGTGGCACTGTGGCTCAAGTGGTAGCGTGCTAGCCTTGAGTTGAAGAGCTGAGGGACAGCGCCCAGGCCCAGAGTTCAGGCCCCACGACCGGACCCAAAAAAAAAAGAGCTAGGAAGTTGGCTCAGTGGTAGAACGCTTGCCTTGCATGCCTGAGGCCCTGGTTTCGATTCCTCAGCACCACATAAGCAAAAAGAAAAAAGCCGGAAGTGGCGCTGTGGTTCAAGTGGTAGAGTGCTAGCCTTGAGCTGAAGAGCTGAGGGACAGTGCCCAGGCTCAGAGCTCAGGCCCCACGACCAGACCAAAACAAAAAACAAAAAAACAAAACCTGTTTAAAAAGCATGTCCACAACAGGAAACTGCTTAAAGGTTGGATACAAAATTGTGTGTATAAAGGTGGAATGGTAACTTATGCAGCCTTACTTTTGTTTAACTAAAGGCAGAGAAGAAGAGGAGTACATTAAAACACTAAGAATGGTATTATCTGGAGATAGCATTAACAGGTGGCTTTTAGTTTTAAAAGTATTTCACAGCCGGGCACTGGTGGTTCAGGCCTATAATCCTAGCTACTCAGGAGGCTGAAATCTGAGGATCGCAATTCAAAGCCAGCCGGGGCAGGGGCAGGGAAGTCCGTGAGACTCTTATCTCCTATAAACCACTCAAAAAACTGGAAGTGGCGCTGTGGCTCAAGAGTGCTCGCCTTGAGCTGAAGAGCGCAGGGACAGCACCCAAGCCCAGAGTTCAAGTCCCACAACCGACCAAAAAAAAAAAAAAGTGTTTCATAGTGAACTTATATATTAGCTTATGTTGGTTATGCAGAGGGATTTCATTGTTCCATTTCCACACATACATACAATGTCTATCACTCTCATTTCTTATCATTCTCCCTGTCCCTTTCCAAAAACAATCTCAACAAGTTTCAATGATGAATATATATGTACACGTACACACACACACACACACACACACACACACACACACACACACACACACACGTTATTTATTTATTTATTTTTGGTCAATTGTGGAGTTTGAACTCAGGGCCTGGTACTATCCCTGAGCCTCTTTGTGCTCAAGACTAGCACTCTACTACTTGAGCCACAGCCACACTTCAGAGTAGTTAATTGGAGATAAAAGTCTCAGGGAGACTTTTCTGCCCAAGCTGGCTTCAAACCATGATCCTCAGATCTTAGCCTCCTGAGTAGCTACAGTTATAGGCATAAGCCACCAGTAACCGGCTTGAACTCATATTTTTATAACAAACATGACTATATGAAAAGCATAAAAATATAGATGATTTAAAAATAAAACATTTGCTTTCATCTATGATGGTTTACAGTAGACAGCTCTTCTTATAGTGGTACTAATGATGAACTGAAAAAGAGAGAACATGATTCCAAAGAATCTACATGGAAGGGAACCTTTTAAAGTTAGCAGAAATCTAAAGTACATCACATCCATTATGCTGAGGGTTCAAAAGTATTTTTTTAATTTATCAACCACTATCAGAAACCTTAAAAATAACTCAGATCCTAACCAGGCAGGTGGCTTATGCCTATAATTCTAGCTGCTCAGGAGGCTGAGATCTGAGAATCATAGTTCAAAGCTAGTCTGGGGGAGGAAAGTCCATGAGACTTATCTCCAAATAACTACCAGAAAACCAAAGTGGAGGTATGGCTCAATTTTTTTTTCTAGTTTTTTTTTTCCTTAATATGAAAAAAAAAAGCTCAGAGACAGTGCCCAGACCGCAAGTTCAAGTCCTATGACCCGATACATATAAAATTTCTCAGATCCTTTGATCGGTTAGGTACAAAACTTTATGTAATGTACATACAATCAGAAGCACCCACACTGATGAGCTTCATTCACTTATTCTGTACACTTATCCACTCTAGAAACAGCAGTGTGAATAAGTATCATGAAATAAATGTTTTTGTCAATTGAAAGCATTAAAAAAAAGATAAAGAGGACTGGGAAGTTGGCTCAGTGGTAGAGCGCTTGCCTTGCATGCCTGAAGCCCTGGGTTCCATTCCTCAGCACCACATAAGCAGAGGACTGGGAAGTTGGCTCAGTGGTAGAGCGCTTGCCTTGCATGCCTGAGGCCCTGGGTTCGATTCCTCAGCACCACATAAGCAAAAAGAAAAAAGCCGGAAGTGGCGCTGTGGCTCAAGTGGTAGAGCACTAGCCTTGAGCTGAAGAGCTGAGGGACAGCGCCCAGGCCCAGAGTTCAGGCCCCACGACCGGAACCCCCCCCCAAAAAAAACAAAACAGAAACAAAACAAAGACTTAAATATGAATGTATAAGATATGACTTGAAGGTCTAGGAATGTGGCTTCGTGGTAAAGCGCTTGCCGAGCATTCAATTCCTCAGCATCACATACACAGAAAAAGCTGGAAGTGATATTGTGGTAGAAAACTAGCCTTGAACAAAAAGAAGCTAAGGGCTAGTGCCCAGGCCCTGAATTCAAGCCCCAGGACTGGAAAAAAAAAGTCTGACTTGAAGGAAACCTAGATGGGAAGGTATTTATTGGATTAGTTCTTTGAGCTTGCAGCATTTTTTTTTTTTTTTTTGGTTGGCTGTGGTACTGTCCTGGGCTCTTTTGCTCAAGGCTAGTGCTCTACTACCTACAACCACAGTGCTACTTATGGTTTTCTGGTGATTAACTGGAGATAAGAGTCTCATAGACTTTTCTGTCCAGGCTGGCTTTGAAGCATGATCCTCAGATCTTAGCCTCCTGAGTGGCTAGTATTACAGGTATAAGCCACCAGCACTCAGCTTATAGCACTTTCTGAAGTAGTATTTTATAAAGTTGTCAGCTTAATGCACTAGAAACAAATCTGTAATTTCACTGTACTAGCAACTCTCCCCCATGACAGGCAGTATTGTAACTGTTCATTCTTCTCAGGTAGTTAATATCTAGCCTTCAGAGATCAAGACATGATACTCATCTAACCAAAGCAGTCATTAGTTTTAAAGAAAAGAGGAAACGAGGTCACTAACAACTCTAGTATTTTTGTACAGGTGCAGCTGTGGGCACAAGTTCCTATCAGTGCGACCCCATAACTCTTAGCAGGAGTTGAGTTATTCTTCCAACGTAGACTTTGAAAAAGAGAGCATTCTACAAGCACAGCTATTTTAATTTTAAATAATCTTCTGGTCCTAGAAGAGGAGACAGACTCAGGCTGAGCTAAGCAGGCACTCGGGGAACCTCACTCACCCGTCTGGTGTTCTCTAGGATCTTGGGGTCGGGCTTCCCATAGTTGGGTGGGTTGGCATACGGGTCATAGCCGAGCTTGGCGAGCATGGGGGCGATCACTGCCATGTCTTGTAGCACATCCCCGGGGATCTTCCCCACCCACTTGGACAGCGCTCCCACGTTGACGGGCTTGATGACCTGGTCTGTGGACCGCTCCACTCTGAGAAGAACAATGCCAAGAAATTGTTACTAATTTTTTTTAGAGTATTAAAAACATTAAAAATTCTTTTTGATAACTTCAAAAGATATAATTGTCAGATTGTTAACTGCCCCCCTCCAAAATAAAAGCCAAAGTGGAGCTATAGTTCAAACAGTAGAGCACAAGCCTTGAGTACAAAAACTCAGGGACAAAACCAAGCCCTGAGTTCAATCCCCAGGACCTGCTCCCCCCAAAAATATGATCTGATGGATGATGGATGAGTAGAGGGAGGGACAGAAAGAAAGATATGTGAGAAAGCAAATGTAACATCATGTTAATTGTAGGACTGAGCTGTTGAGGAAGTTTTTCAGTTCTGGTGTATGTTTGAAATCTTCATAATTACATACTGGGGGGAAACAAGCCACCTATAAACCACAATTTACTCATGATCCTTCTGCCTTGGTCTTCCAAGTGCTGGGATTACTGTTGTGTGCCACCATATCAATTGTAAATAGAGTGTTACTACAACACAGTCATGATGTTTGTTTCTGTGCAGACTGAGACTGTTTTTGCTCTACGACAACAATCTCTGCAATCTCTGCAGAAATAATATGGCCTGCAAAGCCAAAAAGTATGATCTGATCCTTTACAGTTTTCAATCCTTCTTTAAAAGAATAGTTATTAGAGGGAAATAGGCCTGTTTCAGATAACATATTCTTATTCTCTCCACAATGACCTGCAAATGAAGCACACTAAATCTCCCCACATCCTCCAGTCTTTCCAGAAATTATGCAACAGGGCTGGGAATGTGGCTTAGTGGCAGAGTGCTTGCCTAGCATGCATGAAGCCCTGGTTTGATTCCTCAGTACCACATAGACAGAAAAAGCTAGAAGTGAAACCGTGGGGGGCCGGGAAGGTGGCTCAGTGGTAAAGCGCTTGCCTTGCATGCCTGAGGCCCTAGGTTCGATTCCTCAGCACCACATAAGCAAAAAGAAAAAAGCTGGAAGTGGCGCTGTGGCTCAAGTGGTAGAGCGCTAGCCTTGAGCTGAAGAGCTGAGG